AATTGGCTAAAAAGAACTGCATTAGGAGAGAATCTTTAATGTCACAATTCTTACCTCTCTGCAAATGAGACGATGCCACAGAGGGAGCAATGGTAAGGTTGCTGTAACACCTCTGCACTGGTTTGGAAGGACCCTGGCTGCACCTCACCTCCCAGAATTCCACACCTTTCTTGCAGGGGTTGCAAGTCTAGCTCAGAGATGAGTGCTCGCTGCAGGCAGGATTTATGAAAACTGCCATCTGCCCTCAGCCTTTGGAGGGAGCCTTCGCACTGGGCACTAGAGCACTGTCAATTAGGCGCCCCTTCCTGGAGAAGCCCTGCTGCTCAGCTTAATTTGACAGAGTGTAACTGTAGTTACCAAGGATTTCCAGGCAGTGGGAGCTTCGTAAAACCTGGCAGTTGGGTGTAGCTACTCAGACACAGGAGAAGCATTAGTTTGCAGGCTGGTAAGAGCACCAGTCATCGCTTACAGAGCTCAGTGCTGGCACCATGAGGCCAAGAGAGGACTCTTCCAGCTCACACTCTGCAAGTGAGTTCATTTCTCTTTATGCGTGATTCACCAAAGCCATTGATTATATTAACCCTAGACTCTAGAAGGCAGATCCCTCTGAACCACCCAGGGGTCCTGCTTCCCTGAGGTCTTTGTCTAGTGGCTCCAGAGACCCTCAAAGCTAATTTTGGGAATGGAGGACATAACCTCTAAAGTTTCCTCTGTCTTGACAGTACCTAAAAGTCTGTATTTCATAAGGTCCCCACAACACAGTACCACAAACTGGGTGGCTTAAACCAACAGAAATGTATTGTCTCACAGTCCTGGAGGCCAGAAATCCAAAACTGGGGTGTCAACAGGGCCCTGCTCTCTCTAAACCTGTACGGAGAACCCTTCCTTGCTTCTTCCCAGCGTCTGGTGGTGCTGCCAGTTCCTCCATCACTCCAATCTCTGTCTCTGTGATCATGTGGCCATTCCCCTGCCTCTGTCTTCATGGACATCATCCCTCTTCTAATAAGGACGCTGGTCACACTGGATTGGGGCCCACCCTAATAATTTTATCTTAACCTGATTACATCTCCGTGGTCTTATTTCCAAATAAGGTCACATGACAGGTAGTGAGGATCAGGACTTCAACCCACCCTTTGGGAGGACACAGTTCATCCCATAACAGAGCCCATTTTTCGTTTTAACTTTCCTTCTGAAGAGCCGGAGGGAGGGTACTAGATGTTTAAGGTGATGGGTGGTTATGAAAGTTAGGAAAAGAGCGGGTTGGCGGGAGGAAAGGGGCAGAGCTGGCTGGCTGGCCAGCAGGTCACCTGTCAATGGGTCGGTCAAAAATATTCCAGCCCCGCTCTGGGATTCAGAGCATAGACCAGGGGACACAAAGGGAAACCTAGGCCGGCCCTACTATGAGCTTCCAGAAGGAGGGGAGACACCAGAGCCAGGCCCACAGAGGCAAGCGAGGACAGAGCAGCAGGGGAGAGTGCGGGGGAACCAAAGGAGAAGGCAGGTGGACAGCTTCCCAGAGGAGAGACGTCCCCAGTAGGTTCTGGGAGGAAAAGAGAGGCCCAAGAAGCAGAGAGGAGGCAGGAAGCCGTTCTGGGCTGGGAGAATGCGGGGCGCTGGGGCACAGGGGAGTTCGGGCTGGGACGCAGGGCAGTGACCTCACCAAGTGGGCGGGAGAGCGGGAAGAAGGGAAACCACCCGCCCGCACCCCAGCGGACTTTGGGTCACTGGCCCTGATGCCCCAAGTGTCCTTTCTCCTGCCCTTGATCCTGACCACGTCTCCTCTCTTCCGGCAGCTGTGGTCACCTCCACCGTCTCCAGTGGCTACGGCGGTGGCAGCGGCATTGGAAGCGGAAGCCTGGGCCTTGGTGGGGGCAGCAGCTTCTCCTTCAGCACCAGTGGCGGGCACAGCCTGGGGGCGGGCCTGGGGGGCGCTGGCTTCAGTGCCTGTAGCAACCGGGGCGTCGGGGGCAGTGGCTCCAGCGTCAAGCTTGTCTCCACCACGTCCTCCAGCCGGAAAAGCTACAAGCACTAAGGGCAGGCAGGCCGTTCCCTCACCCCTGCCCCAAAGCCCGCTCCGCCAGCTCACCGGGCCTGCCTGCACTGGTCCCCACTCTCCTAGGTGCTGCTCCCTGCCTCGCTTCCACGAGGCTCAGCTGTGCTCTCAGGAAGCCTGGCATCCTGGCTAAACCCCATTCCCCAGCCTAAGCCAGTCTCTGCCCTCTTGACAGTCCCCAGACTGCTCCTGGCATCCACTCTGTGCCAAAGCCTGCTCACTTTCAAAACTCACAGCTCATCTTTCGAAGGCTCCCCGTCAGCTCCACCTCCCTCCCTCCCTCCAGATGCAGAGATGGGTAGTCTGTCTCTCCCAGGCCATCTCCATGTCAGTCCACCCATCTCACGATGCTTAAAAGCTGCCTGCTGGGAGTGAGGGCTCCCTCTCTTCCCCCTCCAGGAATGTGTCTATTAAATGCATGTGTAATGTGTTTGGTATCCAGCCCTCTCGTTTGGAATGGTGATGGAGCGCAGAGCAGTTCCCCTCCTCCTCCAGACCTCTTCCCAGGACAGGGAGGGCTCAGAGCACACCAGAACTTCCCCCTTCCCCTCAGAGCTAAGAAGGCTGACTGGGGAGATGGGAGGGACAGGAGGGCAGAGCACTGGCCAGACTTCCTCCCCAGGCTTCCGCCCACATCCTCCTACCTCTTGTAAGGGTGCCTCCTTTGAGAAGCCCAAGCCCCTGGGCAGAAGCTCTTCCCAGCCTCCCCAGTCTGTTTGTCATGCAGGGCAGTGCCGTCCCCTCCCAAAACCAGACTGTGTTCTGAGGCCACTGACGTAAGGTGGGCAGCCCAGCCCTTTGCCAGAGAAGGGTCGATTGTTCCCTGACAACTTCCAACTTGCAGACCTGAGCAGGGAAATAACAGGCCAGAAGAGGAATTAAAAGTCAGCCCTGGGGGAAACGCTTCCGCCCAGCAGACGGGCCATTTAGGCCCATAATTGCAGGCAGCGTGAGACACCCAAGAAGCTCCCACATTCCTGAGTTTACTGTCTCCGGACCCCTCCCATAGGGCGTGAGCCCCTGGCATTGTCCAGAGTGGGGCCAGCCCGTGTGGGCTTGGAGGGCGTGGGGTCAGGACTCAGAACCACATGCAGAAACCAGGAATCTGAAACAGAGCAGTCCAGGGTGAAGGAGCAGGAGGTTAAGCGGCAGGGAAGGGAGAGGCCATGAACCAGGATGAGAGAAGATGAATGTAAAACAAGGAGCTAAAATTTGGAAGGGCTGGGAGGGAGAGGATGGCAGGAAGGAAAGAAATGACACTGAGAACAGTTGTTAAAGACCCGGGGATGAAGGGTAGAGCGGAAAGGAATTGAGAATGAAATCCTGAATTTTCTCCTTCCCGGGGACAAGCCACCTCCCCTCCATCGGTGTCAGGTACTGCGATCTACAGTCAGTACCCTGCTGTCACACCCCTGGGTCCTAAATGGGCTTCATTGCTCACTAGTCATGTGATCTCCATCAAGTTTCTTCACTACCCTACATCTGTCTCAAGTGCTTCATGGGCAAAACAGGAATAATAATAACAGCTAATAACAGCTACCCTGTGCTGCTGTGTGAGGTTTCAATGAGAAGATGGGTGTAAAGCAGTTACTTACAGCAGCTGCTCAATAAATGTGGGCAATTATTATTTTGGTCATCCAACCTCACAATGTTATTATAAGAATTAAATAGCTTAATGCTTGTGACTGACCTGCACATGGTCTGGCACAGACTAGATCCTCAATAACTTATTTCCCTTGTAAGTGACCATGATGGGGAGGGCAGAACTGAGTGCATGGATTCAGAGTTTAAGACCTGAGAACAGAGGAGCTGATGGGAAGTCATGGGAGGGTCTGCAGTGTGTGCTGCGAATCTGGGCTGGCAGGAGGAGGGTAGGCGGGCTTGGGACCCAGGCCTGCCCCAAGTCCACATTCCCAGGGCTGGTCCTGCCCTGGGTGGGGTGTTCCCCATGATGATGAGAGGGGCAGGAAGATGGGCTGTGGCCAGACATGCCATTGAAATGAATTCAACAGAGTGGTCTTTGATCTTCTCTGGCCAAGCCCAGTTCTTGGAAGGGATAAAAGTCAAGGAGAGGAGGGGAAAGCGAGACTTTGAAGGCTTCTCATCCCTTTGACATTTTCACTCTTCTGACCCTCTGGCACCAGCACCCACCATGACTCAACGATCCTCCATCACCATCAAGTCAGGGGGCACTCGGAACTTCAGTGCATCCTCAGCTAGCCTCCTTCCAGGCTGCCGCGCCAATTTCAGCTCTGTCTCCATGTCCCAGGGCAGGAAGAGCTTTGGGGGTGGCTTTGGAGGTGGTTTCGGGACCAGGAGCCTCCACAGCTTTGGGGGTAGTAAGAGGATCTCCATCGGTGGGAGCTACCGCTCCGGCCAGGCCAGCTTCGGAGGTGCTGGCTATGGGCTGGGTCTTGGGGGCATTGGGTACAGGGTAGGGGGAGCCAGCAGTGGCTTTGGATTTGGAGGTGGGATGATATGTGGCGCTGGAGGCATCCAGGAGGTCACTGCCAACCAAAGCCTCCTGACCCCTCTTCACCTGGAGATCGATCCGTCCCTCCAGCGGGTGCGGATGGAGGAGAAAGAGCAGATCAAGACCCTCAACAACAAGTTCGCCTCCTTCATCGACAAGGTGAGGGGCCAGTGGGGTCCCTACCAGGAAAGCGGCTGACACCCAGGGGGGTCTCTGCTTTCTGTGTTCCTCTGAAGTCTTGGGGGTTGAGAAGACTGCCGACAGGGTAGAGGACAAAGTTATTTCTTACTTTGTTGAGATGAGAGAACTGTCCATCTCCAGACTCTAGAGCTGTCTGACCCACAGTAAGAACTTTGCCCTCTTGATGGATAGTGATCTTGTACTTGGCTTAAAATTAGACAGTGAAAAAGAATCAGTTTGGAAGGCAGGAGATAAAGGAAGGAAAGGTTCCAAGTTCAGCTCACAGAAATGGGCTGGGGTATGTTTTCCTGCCATTTGACAGGGACAAGGCCTGGGCAGCGTCTCTAGTGATTCAGGTGTGGTTGGCGGGGGGCATGCTCAGTCGTTCAGAATTCCTTTTGGTGGGAGGAGAGGTCTCCTTGCTGTTGGTCTAGTGTCCTAGGGATCTTCCCAGTTCCAGCGGAAGAAACAGTCTAATTTACACCACCTCCAGTTCACACCTGAACCGGAAGAACAAGTTCAAGGATCCTGGATCATTCAGGCTCCATACCTGGAGTCTGGAAGAAATAGCACTAAACCAAAGAAAAAGAAAAAGAAAGAAAGAAAGAAGAATGTCAAGGACGGAGGGCAAGTAGCCCAGGATCCATCCTCAGCTCTCCTGCTAGGAGCATCCCTAAATTCTTGGGCCTCGGTTGGGTTGGACAGATGGACTCTAAGGTCCTCTTGCAGATCTAACAGGACATGAAATGCCTCATCATTTGGACCTAGACCTTTGAAAGTATAAAGTTAACCAAAGGTACTGGTGAGGACTTCATCACTCATGCCCCACAGTCAACCTGGTGTTTGCACCAACAGATGTGAGATTTCCAGGAGTCCAGTTCTTCAGGGAAGGATGTGGGCCCTGCCTTTCCTGGGTTCATCTGGAGGGGTCCTGGGGAATGAGGGGATGGGGCTGGGGAGGACTTGGAGCCAGGACAAGGAAAGAGGAAGTAGGGAGTGGGGAGTGGGGTGCGTTTGTTACAGACCCTCTGCAGGCACACAGCCAAAGTCTTGGAGGCTCTGTTTTTCCATTCTCTGAGGCTGTGTGTCATTCCAGCTACTCCCAACAGAAGGATTTGTTTAGGCAGAAAGGTTTTGTGTATTCCCAAGTCTACCTCCCGGACTGAGGAGCAAATAAATGCAATTCAAGAAAACCAGATTAGTAGCACAGGACCACAGGGACCTAAGAGAGCTGAGAAAAGAAGGGGCTTACCCAAGGCCATACAGCAGTGAGGGACATGGCTGGGATTGTGCCCAGGCCCCCTCAAGACAACTCTAGAGTGACCCATCCCAGCATTCCTGGACTGGTGAGTCCAGATTCTAGGTCTGGAAAAATCATGTTGGAAAGAAAATGAATCCAATTTTCTGCCAAGACCCTCCTGCCCATTTAACAGGAAACAAAATCTCAGTAACGTGGTCAAGTATCCTTCCCTTCAGCTACTGCACATCAACATGGTTTTGTGTATTTAGACAGTTTCCAGCCTCTATGGCCCTACTTACTGACCCATCTTCAAACCAAGCCACTGCCTGTCTCCCAGGCTCATTGCACCAACACTGGCTTGGCTTTAAGTTCCGGTCTTCTTCCAGACTCAAGACAAAGGGGAGGAGCCTGACACCTGGACTTTGAGGTCTTGCAGGACCCCTGCAATGTTGAGGGTCCTGTATCTCAGAGCCCTCCAGGAGACTGATGCTGCAGGGAAGTGCTAACAGTCTCTTATCTCTGGCTGGGGCAGGTGCGGTTCCTGGAACAGCAGAACAAGGTCCTGGAGACCAAATGGAGCCTGTTGCAGGAACATAAGACCACCAGGGCCAACATCGAGCCCATGTTTGAAGCCTACATCAGCAACCTGAGGCGGCAGCTGGACAGCCTGGGTGGAGAACGCTTGAGGCTGGAGACAGAGCTGAAGAGCATGCAGGATGTGGTGGAGGACTTCAAGATCAAGTGAGTGGGGGCTCAGCCCTGAGGTTCCAGGGGAGGCTCTGCTCTCCGGAAGTGCCCAGTCCAGTGGGAAATAGGGCACACACTTTGGGACTGGAGGTGGAATCAGAAAAAGAACTGGGACCCTGAAGTCAAGAACATTGAGGCTTTGGGAAGGGGCTGGGGTTAGATGGTAACTAACACGGGCACAAAGGGCATGATACATGCAACGTGGTCAGCTCTGCAGATGAGGAAATGTAAGGCTCTGAGATAGCAAATGACTCATCCAAGTTTATACAAGTAGCAGCTCATGAGTTATGAACTCATAGAATCTCATACTCACATTTGTTTGGCTCCTTCCCATTGCTGACTTCACAATGTTCATGCATCCACCACAGCCCTGGCTAAGGTTGGGGAATGAAAGAAAAGGAGGCCTATTTGCTGCCTTCTCCCTGGAACTTCACACACACACACACACACCACTAAATATAATGGTATGTTTCTACTATAGATATGAGTAATTTCTCATTTATATTGTTTTAATTTATTTCTAATGTTCTTGGTCCAAACAAAATAAGTGACTTGATAAGTTTTGGTTGCTGTTTGTATAATGGAGTAAGAATCCAGGTTTTAGAGTTGTGCTAACATGATAGCCACTAGCTACTTAAATTTAAACCAAGTAAAGTTATATAAAATTTTAAATTCAGCCCCTTAATGACACTAGCCACATTTCAAGTGCTTAGGTGCCACATGTGACTAGTGGGTCCCATAGCAGATGCAGATACAGAGCATTTCCATCACCACAGATATTTTTGTTGAACAGCACTATAGAATAGAGCACCAGATTTAGAAACTTGGTTCAACCACTCACTAGCTCAATGACCTAAAGAAAACTAACCTCTCTAAGCTCCAGTGCCTTTGTCTGCTAAAGGGGATATTAATAGTACCCATCTCATAGAGGCATTGAGACTGTTAAATCAAAACGTGCATATAAAGTGCTTGGTAGGCTGCCCACTGTCTGACACATAATAAGCTGCTGTTAATACGTGTTAGCTATTTTATTGTATTGATGATTAGGTATATGCGTGTACGGATGCAAACATAGACAAGAGAAGCAGATGGGTAATTTATAACAGCATGCAAAGGTGGGGTAACAGTGATTCAATCCAAGAGGACTTCCTGGAGGAGGAGGTAAAAGCTCAAGGTTGAGTGGGGGATGTGTCGAAGAGCCCTCTCCTGGTTAATGGACAGCAACGTTCCAACGGCAGGTGTCTAAGAGCCCTGTGCAGGGCCACATGATTCTTGCCCTCTGGCAGGGGGACTATGAACTGGGAAACACAGGACAATTGCATGAAGTCAGGTGAAGAAAAGATGGTCAGATTTAATGAAAAGACACCTCAAGGAAACAATAAGGCGAGCAAGATCAGTTTCCCAGAGCGCTGGGGAGGAGGCACAGTACTGAAGAGTCAGTGAGTCAGTGGCAGAAAGAGGTTTCTTAGATACTTCTGGACAGTAGAGGCAATAAAAATAAAGGTGGAGATTTTGGATGTATAGTCGTGTGGGATAGTACTTTGTAGTTCTAAAAACATAACGAGAAGCCGATTCATAGGTGGGAAAGAGCCTCTGAGAGGTTAAGGGACCTGCCCTAGGTTATTCAGCTAGTAGGTGGAGGAGACAAGCCCAAACCACAGCCGTCAGGAGCTGCCAAGAGGGTGGGATTGGCTGATGCTTAGAAGGCAGGGTTACCTAAAGCAGATGTGAAACTTCCTTCCCAGAGATCAGAGGGTGGGGGACAGTGGGGAGTGGGGTTGCTGCCTAGGGGCAAATTGAAAATGAGGAAACTTGGTGGAGAGGGTAAGTGGGAGGTGTCTTATTAACCTGAGGGCTGCTTCCCAGGCTGCGGGTCAATGGCTGAGAACAGGACAGTGAGGCAACGTGAGGATGCCCCGGGGTGCAGGCGCCAGCCGAGGCCTGGGCCGCCGGCCTTACTGCTCTCTCTTCCCCCTCCCATGGCCCTTGTCTGGCTTGGGGTGAGACCATGGGGTAAGAGGAAGCAGCACACGCCTTCACGGGACCTCTGTGGAGCAGAGCTGTGAGAAAGCGACCTCACAGGGAACGAGAGGTGGTTCTGTTTTGCTGTTGCTTTGCATTTGGGTTTTGTCTGCGCAGCATGGATGTTTGATGGATTTGGGATTGGGGGGCCCACGAGAGCTATGCTGTAGCAGCACGTTTTCCAAGTCTTCCCTGGAAACCCACCTACAGCCCCTGCCTTGGCCCTCACGCCCAGAATCCCTCGCTCTGAACACCCATCCTCTCCTTCATCCTTCCCGCAGGTACGAAGAAGAAATCAACAGGCGCACAGTGGTGGAGAATGAGTTTGTGGTGCTCAAGAAGGTGAGGGGACAGGGATGCTCCCTCCTGACTCTTGGACCCTGGCAGCCCCTTCTGGGAGTGACAGCTGCCACTTAAGCCAGAGGCCCTGTATACATGGCTTCATTTAATTTGCATGATCTTAAAAGCAGGTCTTACTTCAGAAGTGAAAAAATTCAGGCTCAGGGAGGTTAAATCGGTTGCCCAAGGTTACCCAGATCATCAGAAGCGAGTCCAGATCCAGGACACCAAAGTCTGAGCTGTAAATCACTACACCAGTTCTCTCCCCACGTGGGTCTGGTGCAGGGAGAGGCGAAGCAACATGAGCCTTGTGCGGAGCTGAGTCTCCAGGACCTCAGGTCAGGCTTAGGGGACAGGCATGGGACGGGGACCGACTCCAGGAGTTGTGGACCTTCCTGCTCAATGAGGATGTGCAGAGGGAGGGAGAGGGCCCGCCCCAGAGCTAATCTGGAGGAAGAGGAAAAACAGAGCAGCAGTGTGTGGAGGGGAGGAAGGGGCAGGGTGTGAGGAGGAGGGGAAGCCTCGGGGTGGGGGTGGGGGGCTGGGAGAATCAGGAGGCAGCGGAGGACCGGGATGGGTGTCTTCACCGTGGGAAGGTGACATGTCTTTCCACGTGGTACCAGCTGATAAGCAGGTGGGCATCCTTGAGTGCCCTGGTCCTCACACAGTTTGGACCCCCCTGGACATTTCACTCCATACACAGCCTGGGATAGGGAAACACTCTCATCCCTGGCAACTAAAGTTCTCCAGCCAAACTCACAGACGGAGGGTCTGGCTAGCCCAGGAAGGGTGGGACTCGGAGTGACAGCATGTTCTGTGCCCAGGACGTGGATGCCGCCTACATGAGCAAGGTGGAGCTGGAGGCCAAGGTGGAAGCCTTGATGGATGAGATCAACTTTCTGAGGGTGTTCTATGATGCGGTAAGCCATGCCAGGTGCTCCCCCAAGAAGGGCTGGAGGTTGGGGGCCTCAGCTGGGCATAGAGGCCACCAGCCCCTTCCAAGGCCTCCTTTCTACTCCTCACCCAAGTTGGAATTGATGGAGCAGATGCCACTTCCCCTACCAAAGGAGAACATGAGGTTTCCCAGGGCAGCTGGTGGATCAGGCAAGGTGAGAAACTGAAGCATGTGCTGTGGGCCTGACAAAAGAACTGCCTGCCGTTGAATGACGTGCAGTTCCATAGAGCTGAGCAACCTGGCACCCGGCCCAGCTCAGATGTATTACCTGCTGCTCTTCCTAGAGTGGAGGCAATTACGCAAATCAAGTGGCAATTGATGAGCCCTCAGGTGCTTCTAGAAGCACCCAATGCAAATGCCTGGCTCTCCTGTAGACACATTTTGCTGTGAACCTCTGGACACCCGACCCTGCCCGGGGCTGCAGGCACAGCACTGGGCAAACACAGTCAAGGCCCTAAGGTCTGGGAGCTTCCGTGACGGGAGGGGAGACAGGCGGTACAGGGAATCAAGTCAGGATACCATTTCAGGCATGATAGGGGCGATGGAGAAAACGCCAACAGGAAGCAGCAGCAGGCAGATGGTGGGTGATAACCTGAAGGAACTGGGGTTCCAGAAATGCCAGGAGGAGGCCCAGGTGGCTGGAGTAGAGACAGAGTGAGGCGGCAGATGGGATGAGCATGTCGGGGAGCGGGTGGGGGACAGGATGCACTGTGTGCCACAGGCAAACCTGGTAAGGACAGGTGATCCGCCCTTGGGGTACACGTCTGATGCCCAGCAGAAGTTGGTCATATTCCAGGAGCAGGAACATGGGATCTGCATCTGTAGACAGCTTCAATGATCATCCCACCCACTCGGGGCAAAAAAGACATCATTTTCTCTGCTCATTCACTTCAGTGCCAGGGTGGTGTTGGCTCCCAATTCCGAACAGCAAGCCTGTGGGCTGAGATCTCCCCACCCCACCCACTGCCAGCTTGGTCAGCTACCAGGAAAAACTATTTCAGAAAAACAAATTGCAACACAGCAACAATAAAATAATCATTTCTTGAAGCAGGAAGTGCATGAACCAATTGTTAATGAGGAAAGGAAAGGGATATTTAGATTTGGGCTTTGGATCAGTGGTTCTCAAATTTTACAGCTCGTCAGAATCTTCTAGAAGTCTTGTTCGAGTACCAATTCTCAGGAAGTCTAGGGTGGGGCCCAAAATGTTGCATTTCAATCAAGTTCCCAGGTGATGCCGATGTTGCTGCTCTGAGGATCACATTTGGGGAACCACCACCACCCTACATGATCCCGGAAAGTGATCACTGACAAACTAATCGTGGGTTTTCTGTTTCAAAACCCACCTTATGTGTATTTAATGCTCACAGAAATCACGGGCAGCAGCACTCTGACCAGCCCCGCTAGACTCAGAGACGCTAGCCAACCTGCCTGGCAGAGCCAACGCTTGATTTGTCCAGTCTTTCTGCTGTTTCGAGCTGGTTTCCACTTCCCATCCCCGAGGAGCAGGGAGGAGCAACGTTGGGAAATGGGGCTGGAACACAGCACAGCTTTCTGGCTCTTTCTGGCTCAGATTTCTTTCACAAGATGATTACTTTATTTGGTGAGAAAGGCTGCGTTTTCTCAGAACGTGAGCCGTTGTGGCACTGACAGGTCGCGGCAATGTGCACTGAGAATGGGAGTAATTTCTGGAGAAATTCCCTTGGCTGCTGCTCCCTCTGTGCAGATGAGGCGGCAACAGAGGACGGGCGTAAACCCAGTGACCTCCCTGATGTCCTTCCCAGCCCTTTCAGACCTAAGCAGGCTGGCAGGCCGACAGTGTGAGTGGGGCCCTCTATGCCAGAGCCTGGGGGCTGGTCACAGCCTCCCCCCCACACACACACATGCTCACACATGCACACGCACGCACACACCCTGCCTCAGCTCTCCTGTCTCGGTCCTCGCAGGAGCTGGCTCAACTTCAGGCCCAGATCTCTGAAACCAGTGTGGTCCTGTCCATGGACAACAACCGCAAGCTGGACCTGGACAGCATCATCGCTGAGGTCAAGGCCCAGTACGAGGACATCGCCAACCGCAGCCGGGCTGAGGCTGAGTCCTGGTACCAGATCAAGGTGAGACATCGAGGTCAAGTTTGTGAAACAGTCATAAAGAACTGAGATTTCAAAAGCAAATTTAAGAAGAGCCTTGTCCTCCCAGTCTGATGGGGTCAAAGGGATCTGAGTTCAGTTCAGGGCTTACCCTCTGTTCTGAGTACTCTTCAGGCAGCACCGTCAGAACCTGGGGGAACAGCCAGACAAAGGCAGGAGGTGGTCAGACCTTCTGCCACAGGGAGGATGGACATAACTCCACTGCCCTACAGAGGAGAGGTGCGGGACTGCTGGATAGTCCCGGCCACCAGTGCCAGCAGGAACGAGAGAGGGAGGGTGGGAACAAGAGGCAGGTTTAGCCTCCTGAATCAGGAGAGGAGAACCAGCTGGGGCCAAGGGGCTGGGGCAAAGGCTGGCTAGGGGTCACACAAGGAGAGTTTCCAAGTTAGAGCGAACACGCTGAGCTGGGGAGTCCTGGGGATATGAGATGTGTTGCCAAGGAAAACAAATAGGAAAGAGCTTTAAAATCCGAGAGTGACAGGAACCCTGGCATTATGCGGAGTTTGTGAGAGTGAGCTACGTGGTGGTGAATAAGAGGAATGAAAGATGGGATACAGGAAGAAGGGTCCGGCTGTAGGGTGGAGCCTGCAGATATGGAGAGTGAGGGGCAGCGCCAAGAGGCAGTGGGCTGGACTTGATGGAGAGAGCGGGGTGGGGTGCGGGGGTGCACAGGGACATGCCTCCAAGCAGCGCATCGGAAGCCTGCTGAGCCCTGGGAAACCGCCACCTCCTCTCCTCTGGCCTGACCATCCCGCCTCCTGCCTCCCCTTCCCCGCAGTACGAGGAGCTGCAGCGGTCCGCCGGCCGGCACGGGGACGACCTCCGCTCCACCAAGATGGAGATCTCCGAGCTGAACCGGGTGATGCAGAGGCTGCGCTCTGAGATTGACAACGTGAAGAAGCAGGTAGGGCTGAGCTCCCAGCAGCCACCCCATCCCTCCCTGCTTCTAGGCAGACCTGGCCTGGTTTTAACACAGCCCCGGCAGAGAGAAGCCCCGCACCCCCAGCCGAGTGACCGTCCAGGAGTGTAAACGTGCAGTCTCCCCACCCACCAGGGACATCAGGACCTTCCTTCTGAGATCTGTGCAACATCAGCTCCTCTAGGAAAGGTGCTGTCCTCTGGAGGTGTGCATGGCAAAGCTCTGACTTGCTTTACTTACCCACAATCCAGAGAAGTTCAGCATTGAAAGGGACCCCAAACCATTTCTCCATCCCCTCTAATCCTCAGCTTATCCAAGGGAAACAGACATGAATCTTAGCTTTCAAGATGATGAAGCCCCCACCTTCTTGGCATGAAATTTCAGAAAATCCTTCCATATTTTTAACCTAAAACCCACATCTGACTGCTTTCCCTGTGTCCTCCCGGCAGTGTGCCGCGCTCCAGGCCTCCATCGCCGATGCGGAGCAGCGTGGGGAGCTGGCCCTCAAGGACGCCAAGCACAAGCTGGCCGAGCTGGAGGAGGCCCTGCAGAAGGCCAAGCAGGACATGGCGCGGCAGCTGCGCGAGTACCAGGAGCTGATGAACGTCAAGCTGGCTCTGGACATCGAGATTGCCACCTACCGCAAGCTGCTGGAGGGCGAGGAGTGCCGGTGGGTGACCTTCTCCTCCTATCACGGTTCAGATAGATGCCACCAGAGCACAGGAGCGATGCCACAGAGGCCGAGAGCCCCACAGTGCCAGGCCCCAGATAGAAAGGCCCAGGGCAGAAACACGATTGAAATGCAGATGCTCCCTGCAGGCAACCTGTGGTTGCAGGCGCTCCCATAGCTCCTGGGGCACCCAGGGCAGGGACCAGGGTGAAAGGCTTCAGGGAGAGGTGGCCCTGACTACCTGGAAGGCCATAAGCAGGGCCATTTCTACCCAGGCCTTGTGACAAATGAGGCCACACTCAGAATGAGGTTCAGGGGCTCCATATTTGCCCAGAGATGCCAACCATCTGACGGTCCCTCTAGACCTCGTGAGCATGGGATCCTCTTCCCATTTCTCTGTGTATCTTGACCTGATCTCTCTTCTGGATGTCCCCTCCCAGATGCACACCAGCTTCCTACAGCTTATGAGATGAATGAAATGCTTGTTAAGCACAGTGCCCGGCACACAGCCAGCCCTCTGTGCTGATAGCTTTAAATACAAAGAACCCAAGGCTCTCTAACTTCTCAGCGAATGAAATGTCTCTTTCTTTCCCCACCTGCAACAGACTCACTGGAGAAGGTGTCGGAACCGTGAATATCTGTGAGTAAATGTCTTGAGATGGCAGGAAAGTGGGCGACAAAACGGAAGCTAAGGGCATCACCAACAAGGATTTGGTGACTAGATTGCGAGCAGGCTGGGGCGAGACATCATTGAGGCCGTTTGGGGGGCTCTGTGGAGACCCCCCTCTCCTTTGGCCCTTCTTCCCAGTGGGCTCGAGAGAGTCATGGTGACATCCACCCCAGAGGTCCCAGTGACATCACGTGTCCACAGGAACGGACTCCAACCTGGTCTCAGAGGACCCTATTTGTGGGACAGGACTACGCACAGAGCAGTGGGTCCCCCGTCTGAGTGCCTGATTCCTCAGCTAGTTCCCGCAGGAATTCAAACCTGCAGAGCTAATAAGAGGCTGTTAAACAGCCTAAATCTGAAGGCCTGTGTTTAGAATTGAAGCCAATTAATTGAACAAGTAGAGCAGGGAAGCTTGGCCTGAGGTCCCAGGGGGAAAGCCAGGGGGAGTCATCCTGTAGGAGGACCCAGACCAGCAGGCTCAGGTGGCATCCGCGGGGCACTGAGCCCCGGGCTCAGGAAGTGGAGTTCCCTTGGGCGCCACGTGAGTCAGACCACATGAAGGAGGCTGGTAAACCAGGACGGGGGAGGGCTTGAAACCAATGAATACAGGGAACACCGATGCTGCAACTGGAGAGACAAATACTGAGAAGGGAGGTGGAAGAGGCGTCTTCAGATGTTTGGCAGGCTGCGAAGAGCTGCATCCCGGGACAGTGAGCTCCGATTCCCTGAGAGGATTTGCAACTAAGCCACTGGCTCTCAGTGATGCAGTAGTGGGGATTCCAACCCAGAGGCAGGTTCACCTGGGTGGCCTTCGGGCCCCTCCCTATATGGGGGCCTGTGATCCCCACACAGTTTATGGGGCCTCGCATTCCATCCAGCATTAGAGCCCGGGGTAGAGATGAAGGGCAAACAGCACAGAGACCCAAAGTGCTGGGTTCTGGCAGATGTGACCTTGGCATGCTACTTGTACCTGTGCTTCCTCCCCTATAAAATGGGGGTGATCAGAATAAGGGCGTCCTCTCAGGCCTGTGGAGGAGACCAGTGTGGTCACAGCTGGGAGCGTTCTGACACTTGCCATGCCCTGTGTACATCGAGGCAGCGTGTGACGGGGACAGCGAGGGTCCTCGTGGAGCGCTGTGGGAGGGAGGTGGCCAGGGTAGGAGACCCGAGCTGGGGAGGAGCCTGCCAGTGTGCTCTGTGTCTTCTCTCCACAGCCGTGGTCTCCTCCTCCGGGGGCTCAGGCTACAGCGGGGGTGGTGGCCTCTGCATGACGGGGGGCAGCTATGGCAGTGGCCTCAGCTACGGGGGCAGCGGCGCCAGCTTCAGCTCCACCAGCGGCCGCAGCATGAGCGCCAGCAGCTCCAGCATGCGCATCATCTCCAAGACCTCGTCCACCAAGAGTTACAGGAGCTAAAGGGCCCCCTGCCCCGCTGCCTGACCCCAAGACCCCCTGATTCCCAGCCCTAAAGCCTGCTGCTTTGCTGACCACCCCCTGCACAGAATCAACAGGAGGCACAGGGAGCGGGAAGTGGTCTGTGAGTTCCAAGGCCATCTTGTCCATCTCTCTGCCTCCAGACAAGTCCCCACAAAGGTACCTCACTCACTTTTCAGCCAAGAGCCCTCCAGGGTCCACAAGCATCCATTCCAACTGCCATGTGCCCAAGACCGGGGCTGGGACATTCTCTTCAGTAGCCTCCTACTGTCTGACCCAGATCCCCTGCAACCACAGTCCTCCCTGGGGCTGCTTATAACAGACCTTGGTGCCCCCAAAGAAGTTGAGTGCAGTCCGGGCCAGTGCTTTCCCGCCACACACAGAACATCTGCCCTGCAGGATCCCTCAGACCAGGAAATGTTGCAAACCCTGCCCACATATTCCCTCCTCACCTCTGTCCTCCTTGTCCCCTCCAGGCACCCAGCCATATCCCCCAATAACTCCCATCATCAGGATATTTGAATGAGAAATCAACATCCTTCAAAATATTACCAGCTTGATTATTCATAGTAGATCAAAATAATGTTATCAAGAACTCCAAAGTTCTCCGTGGCCCGGGGCTACATTACGTGAGAGTTCAAAGTCAAATTCCTTCCACATCTGCCCCATTTAAGCCAATATTAGAATTTCTGTCCCACAGAGAATGTCCTGGTGATGAGGGGGAGGGAAGCAGGCTCACGTGAGGCTGCAGGAAACGCCTGCAACCAGCACATCAGGGACCCAGTTAGCCTGTATCAGAACTGCCCTGGGAAATGGTCCTCCCCCGAAGAAGCCCCTGAGCTCAAGAGTTTTCTCTTTCCTTGGTGCTAGCCACATCTCTCTTCTGGGAAGTTTTCTTTCCTTTCTAGCCAGCCCTTTTCACCTCCTCCCTCACCCTCAGTCCCCTTTCTGGTCATCCTCTACAGCCCCGTGTGTCTCCTCTCTCAGTTGCCCTCCCTTCCTCTCCTCGCCCTTATTTCTCTTTTCTTCCTCCCCTACTCATCCATTGGCAATACATTTCCTGCTCTCAATCTCCCGACCTGTCTTCTTCTATCTCCCTGTCTCTGTAATGTCTAAGATGTGGATTTGCCTGTGCCCAGACCTGGCCAGAGGCAAAGCTCTTTAAGGCAGGCTGCCAGATTCCCTGCCCACGGGGAGGGCGCAGGATAGCAGACCGGGAAGAGAGAGGGAGTTCTTCCTTTGGTGTTTCTCCTTGCTCTGAGAGGGGCGTTGCTCGGCCCCTTGAAGAAGCAGAGGTGGGGTGGCGGTGGAATAAGGATGCGAGGAGGCACAGGGATCTTTTTGAGTGGCCTTTAAGGGTGATTTCCCCATTGAGTCTGAAGAGTTGTAAGCCCTCAAGACACCTGCCATGTACTCAAGACCAAAACACATTTCAAAAGCATACAGACAGGCTGCCATGCTGCTGACCTGAAGACAGGAGAGTTCACGGTTTCAAAAAAAAAAGTCACTCCCGCTCAGTCAGTTCAAACCCGTCCGAACTGCCTGCTCCTTGTGCTTGCCCACTCCCTGAAATCGCTTCAATAAACTGTCACCGAGCTTTCAAGGTCTTGACTGAGTCTGTGTCCCATCCCACACTCAGAGGACGACCTTGGAAATGGAGTTCTTTGGGAGCAGGGCCCTTCCACCCACAACGCTTACTCCAGAGCAGGATGAGAATCCCCTTCCGCTGCCACCGAGCAATAGGAGCCCCACGCCGCTTCTGCCTCCCACCCTCGCCCGTGGTCTCTCGTCACACCCCTTACCCCTCCAAGCCCCAGTGTTCCCTCCCCAGGACTGGGACCCAAAGTCAAGACGATGTAAAAAGGGACAATGTGAAATATCACAGTTAGACTGAGAGCTCTCGAGCACAAGAAACATTTGTGTTCCAGTCTCCGAATCCAGAGGTGGGGAAGCCAGGAAACACAATGTGTATTGACAGCAGACCCCTGATTCCTAACCCCGGCTACTCCCCAGAGCAGTAGGGCATGATGACATCAGAAAGGATGGGGTTGGATCCCAGCCTACCCCGGACAAGCTGTGTGGCTTGGGAGTTACTTAAACCCTCTGCTCTTCACTCTCCCTATCTGTAAAATAAAAGCTACGTCATGGTGTTGTCATAAGAACTGAATGAGATAATGGCTGTATAGCTCAGGGTGGTCCCAAACGTGGCAAACACCCAATAGATGTTACTATTATCGTGTTGACTCACTTTTGACCTGGGAAAAGGACACAGTGTGGAAGGGAAAGACCAGTCAGCCACAGCAGTGGTTTCACTAACGGGACTGAGGGAAAGGCGGAGAGGCGACAGCAGGGAGGAGGTGTTTCAAGCATCTCCAAAGAGCTGTGACCTGGGTGCCAGGGAGGGAGCCTGTAACCTGCATCTCCCTGAACAATTCCTGAGAGCAATGACCATCCCCAGGGATGCCCTCGGGCAAGAGTAGACTCAGCCTACCTCAGGGAGGCTCAGGACAGGGTGGGAAGACAGGCGAAGGAGCCCCCCTAATGGCTGACATCAGTGCATCTTTAGGGGGCCTGTTGGGAGATGGAGGGAACAAAAAGTGCCCAACCAACTGAGAAGGTATCTTGAGACCAAAGAACGAGGCAGGCAGCTCCATCTAATCAATGGATCAGTTTATTACAGGGTAACTTATTATAGGGTGGGATGGGGTGGACAGTGATTTGGAAGCATCCGCAGCTGCATTCTGTACCATCAAGGAACCATTGGGACAATTTTTATAGTTAACTTGGGGTACTGGGGTAGGTGCTTGGAAACAAGACTTGCATTCCTAAGTCAGGATTTATGAATGTGGGTGGGGGTATAGCTCGGTGGTAAACTGCGTGCTTAGCATGTGCGAGGACCTGGGTTCAATCCCCCGTACCGCCATTAAATAAATAAATAAACAAACCTAATTACCTCCCCCTCAAAACAAACAAACAAACAAACGATTTACAAATGGTTAACTAGTCTCATGAGTGCCAGGAATATGTCAAGGAAGGTCTTCAACATTGTTTGGGGACTAACAGAGCAAAGGGGCCACCTGGTCCTAATGATTATTAAACAATATCTATTAACTACAAAACCCTTGATGACAGAGAAGTGACTCACTGCCCAGTACAGTCCTGGGTAAGCTCAGCAGAAGTTCAGGAGGAAGCGCACAGGCCCAAGATGGTGTCAGTTATGCTAACAGCCATACAAGGCCCAAAGAGTCCATCCTCTCCCCTCCTCAAGCACAAGGCATTCCCTCTTGAGTCCCCTGCAGCCTTTCTTGGACTAACCTGTCACTGGAGACAAGAGTCTGTGTCTGGAGCCTTCTACCACAGGAGCGCCAGTGGGACGAGGTTAGCTGAGCCAGAGCCAGGACCCTGCCTGACCTGAGGAGGGCCAGGGCCCTGTCTGCTTAGGGAGGCTTCTCTCAGCCCAGATCCTTCCTCCTTGGAAGCTCCTAGGATCACCCATAGCGGGCACCTGGGTCTGGAGCATCTGCAGAAAAACTTAGAAACAGCCTTGGGGATACAGAACATCCTCAAGCACCTCCAATTTGGTCTCTAATCCCAGAGCAGCCAGGGTTTATAACTCATGCCCCCATGAAGTGGCATAAAGTCCCGACTCTCCTTTTCCTCGAGGCCGAGCCACTGAATTAGCCAAACGTATCTGTCTGGTTGACCCCTTTCATCACCCCTGTAAACAAGGAAGGAGGACATATAGGATTTTTATGGGGCCCACCAGCATTGACCATTGGCTCCAGCTCTTTGCTCTTTGCTACCCTAATTATCCACCTTGGTACCTAGCAGCTGCCAATATGCCAAGCTCATAAACCTGATTTCATGGTGATCTGGGGTGTGGCCCAGCTCGGCCCTCCATCCCCTACCAGATAAAAGGACGGAGGCTGAGCTGACCCGATAACTCGCACCTCCACCCTCCTGCCAGTGCCCCGTCTCTCTGCCCCCGCCCCCGCCATGTCGTGCCGCTCCTTCCAGCAGGGCTCCAGAGGTGGCTTCAGCTCATGCTCAGCTGTCCTCCCCCAGATCATCACCCACTATGCAGTGAGCAAGGGGCCTTGCAGGGTCGGGGGTGGTGGCGGGGGTCTCCGTGCCCTGGGCTGCCTCGGCTCCCGGAGCCTGTGCAATGTGGGCTTCGGGAGGCCCCGGGTCGCCTCCAGGGGTGGCCTGCCTGGCTTCGGGTACAGAGTGGGCGCCACCTGCGTGCCTCCTGCCTGCATCGCCCCTGTCACCATCAATGAGAGCCTGCTGGTCCCACTGGAGCTGGAGATCGACCCGACAGTGCAGAGGGTGAAAAGGGACGAGAAGGAGCAGATCAAGTGCCTCAATAACCGCTTTGCGGCCTTCATCAACAAGGTAAGGGGCGGGCCCGGGGCTCCAGGGCCGTGGGAGGCAGGAAGCACCTTGTGTCCGCTCCAGAGGGGCAGGGAGAGTGAGACTGCAGAGAAGCCGCTGTGGATCCACCGGCCTCCCCTGTGCTCCGTGACCCCTAATCGCTGAAAGCTGGTCAGATTAGGCTCAGCACTTGACATTTCTGCTTGCTAGTCCTTTTTTTTAACATGTCATCTCTCTCTGAATATTATCTGATAAAATCACAAAGGGGCCTGAGATCAGACTACAAGAGGAACTTCCAGAGCAATGATAGATACTGAGAGAAGCAACCAAGAGGCAAAGACCTGTCCTCCCTGATGAGCCTTTAATGAAAGAGCTGCCTTCTGGGTGTCTGAGCTGGGGTGAGACCCTTGGGCCTGGAGGCAGGGATGGGCACTGTGACCCCAGAATTTGCCATTAGCTTAGGCCTGGAATGAGGAGAAGGTGAAACAGTCAGAGCCAGGGACACGACAGGACCATGACCAAAGTCTTACATCTGTCATTCCAGAGCCACAGCTCTGAAAGTCTTCAGGGAAGGGTGACATGCTGCCTTTGGAAGGTGCTAGACTGGCCTGTCACCCTCAGCTACCTCTGGGCCTGTCCCCACTCCCCAGGGAGATTCTTTGGGTCAGGATGCATGCCAGGGGCTGGGTCAGTGTTTCTGGTGACCCCAAGGTTTAGGACAAAGAGTCCTGGGCCGGCAGTCAGGAGAGACGGAGGCCCGGGGTTAGCTCACTCCTGACAGTTACCCTCAGGCCCTCTGCAAACCACTCACCTCCCAGTCGCAGGAACCCTGCTGCCCAGTGGGAAGGGGGTTGGTGATGATGCGAGAATTGAAGGAGGTAATATATACAAAAGTGCTCCAAAAAAAAACTTGTTCTAGTACAGGGGAATTGTTGAACTTATTCGTTTGAAAGCTCTTTAAGTTCTGGTTGTAAACCCATTCCAACAACGTGGGCCCCAATTGTCTGCTACGTCAACCACATTCTATGAGACTGGGGGCATCCTGGCGATGGGGCCGTTGACCAGAAGCAGGGCAACATGGTGAGATGCAAAATCCCAGGGCGCAGGCTGGAGACCATGTTCTCCCTGCCAGTGACCTGGGTGGCTGTGGCCAACTCACTCAGCTTCCCCTAACCTCGGTTTCCAAGCCACAAACATGGAGGAATAGGCCAGTAGCCCTCCACATTACAGTGACAGGGACATTTTCTGGACTCAGCCATACAGGATGGGGCAGAGTAGGTCAGAGTGCTAGGACGCAGCCTTTGATCTTCCTCCCCTGGGTGGCCCTGGGCGCTCCTGGGCCGTAATTGAGGAAACCCCAATTTCCAGTGTAATCACAGGCTTACATTAGTACGATGTACAAAATGCTTCCCATATGATCCCAAGTAAGAGCTTTAGACAGCAAAGTGAGGGCTGGATTGGGTTGGCCCAGGTTACAGGTCTCGTGGGAGGCAGGCAGGCAGGGCTGGAAGGAGGGTCTGCTCAGTTCTCTTGGGGCAACCCTCTTTTCACCACTGCATGTGACCGTGCGTGGAAGGTGGGGTCCCACACACTGCCGCGGGCAGGAAAGAAACAGAGACACAGAGACAGCCGCAGGGGCCGGTCCGCACAGAGACCCTGAAAGCGCTGGCCCATCGAGCAGTGCATTGGGAGTGAGAGTGAGCGCACAGACCGATCTCACTGCCCCCACCCCTGCCCCAGCACTTTCTCTCACCAGCCGTGGTCCCCAGGGTCCCTGCCTCCCCACAACATCCTGTCCTTGGCTGCAGGTCCGGTTCCTGGAGCAGAAGAACAAGCTGCTGGAGACCAAGTGGAACTTCATGCAGCAGCAGAGGTCCTTGCAGAGCAACATTGAGCCCATCTTTGAGGCTTACATCTGTACCCTTCAGAGGCAGCTGGACTCCTCGGCCGGGGACCGGGCCCGGCTGGAGTCAGAGCTCTGCAGCGTCCAGGATGCACTGGAAGCCTACAAGAAAAAGTGAGTTGGCTCTGCTGTCACCTGGTCGGGGACATAGGGCAAGTGACATAAACAGTCTGGGCTCCAGTTTCCCCACCTTTAAAATGGGAAGCCAGAAACTTAGTTCACCAGGTGGTAGCGCAGGTAGGTGGGATAACGTAGGCAGAGCATCCAGGGTGTCTGCCCGCTGGCACGGCAGAACCTCCAAAACTCTGAACTTGTCATCACCTGCCTTCCCACCACCCTCTTCCTCTCTTTGCGTCAAACAAGCTTTCTCCTGCATTTCTGGGCTCTACCTTATCTTCCAGCAGTCCCTTTGCAGACCCTGAACACTTCCATTTTCCTCAGCAGATCCCCAAACCCTCCTTCTCCTCCCTTCAAGCTTCAACTCCCCTGTTCCTTCACCCTGATGAGCCTCTCTCAGTGTTTCTTCACGACATCCTGGCTAATATATCCCACTCCGCAACCGCCTGTCGCAGCTGGAAGCCATCGCCCCTTCTCTCACTTCCAGGTGCTCCGTCTCCCTGTCTCCCTCCCAGTTCTTGGTGGTTAAGGGTATGTAGCCGGCTCCAGACCTGACTCACACAGCAGCAGGTAGCTATGGCACATGTCAGTGAAGAGCTCACCGGCTAATAGATCCAGTGCTTCTTGTGAGAAGTGGAGGCCCAGACAAATTGCCATATGGTCCTGGGTGGGTGTCTTATGTGAGTGGGGAAGGGTCAAGAGAGATACATTTCCATTGACAAGAGACGTACGAGTATGCAGAGAGCCACGTTAGGGACACACATGCTGCAGGTGTCAACTATATGTCTACTCGGGGCCAGCTGCTGTGCTGGGCAGTACGGCTGTGATAGAGTTGGGAAGATCTGGCTGCTTCCCTCAAGCTGTCCTGGTCCAGTAAACGCAGACCTCTGTGCGTGCGTGCGTGCACATCAAAAGCTACAGCGTGGTACAAGGCAGAAGAGGGGAGGAACCCCAAGAGACTGAGAGAGCAGAAGGGGCCCAGGAAGGTTTCCCAGGGGAGGGGACATTTTGCAAAGGGCCTTGAAGGCCATGTTTCATTCCAGTTGCTTCTTGTAGAAGAGGAGCCCAGAGTAGACCCTAGAAAAGGAGACAAGGAA